GATTAATCACTGTATCTGATGCTTTCTCTCTGGAGTTATTTTTTATTTCTTGTTAATCTCTTGCCTTTTTTTGAATAAATCTTCTTTTGATTGGTTGTTCCGGAATTGAAGAAATTTTCTCTGTGTTATTTTTTTACAAAGATCTCGCGCCTGTCCTTACCCGATCCCGGATTGTTTATCTTTTTGTGCTAATCCCCAGCGAAAGATTTTTTTGTATTTTGCAAGCGAGTTTCCCCCAGTGTCTAAAGTTTTCTTAGATGTGTCATTTTTCCAGGCTACATAAAACATAGGGAATTCCCACAGCTTGCAGATCAGGAGAGTCCTTTTGTTTGTGGAACAGGACATTTTGCAAAGACCCAATAAGAACTCATGATCAATCTAAACATCACTCACAGTGTTTCAAAGCACAACAAGCCAGGGAAAAACCCACGGATACTGCCATGGCAATAACCATTGCTAAGATGAACAGCGCAAATTTTGAAGTTCTTCAGAAACTTTTCCGCACAGCATATTACATTGCTAAGGAAGATCTCCCTATGGCAAAGTTTGCCAGTATGAGCAAGCTGCAACAAGTAAATAGTGTTGAAATAAAAGACATGTACATCAATGACCACACATGCAGGGATTTTATTGGGGCCATGGCTCAAGCAGAAGTGGCCAAGACAAAAAAGGACACTGCAGATGCCAGATTTGTGTCAGTTCTCAATGATGGGAGCACCGACTCCAGTATCATCGAGCAAGAAGCTGTGTATGTTCATTTCATATGTGATGGGAAATCTATCACAAAATTGGCTGTATGTCAACCTGTTAAACATGCAGATGCTGCAGGGGTTTTAAATGCCATTGATGATGCCTTGACAACTGTTTGGATTGCTGATAGTGAAGCATGGGGGAAAAAAAGTTGTCTGTGGCAATTTTGACAGCTTCAGTGATGATGGGGAGAAAAAGTGGTGTTGCAGTGCTTTTTGCTTGAGCGTGTTCCCCATATCGTCATTTTGCACTGCATTGCACATAAACTTGAGTAAGCTGTACTTGATGCAGTGAAGACTGCTCCGTACTTGGCCAGATTTGAGGAGATCCTGAAAGCAGTATCAAAAATATACTACTACTCCCCAAAGAAGCGACATGAGCTGAAGGAAATTGGCAGTATCATTCATGAGAACCTTTGTCACTCCAGTGCTCTGAAGAGCACAAGATGGCTCCCAAGCAGGCAAAGGAGCCTGAAAGCTATCGAGACAAACAACACTACACATGGAAAATATGGCCAGTGGTATTGCAGACAAGGTAACCCGAGAGGATGCATCGCGGGCAAAGGCATCTTGCAAGAAATGAAAACTGAGAAATTTGTGAGATATCTCCACTTCATGCTAGATTATAGCAACATCCTTGCAAAATGTAGCAAGAGCTTTCAGTCGGCCGACAACTTCCTAACCAGAACAAGTCAGGTTCTGAGGGGTACTTCTGTGGACCTCCTGAAGCTGAAAACAACTCCTGGAGACTCTACAAAGTTACTTAATGAGAGCCTTGTGAGAGACAAACAGCATGTGAAATACAAGGGTATTGACCTTGTGAGTGTCAATCGTCCCTGCCGAGGTCAAATGGAGCAGTATGAAGGTGGTGATTCAGATTTTGCAAAATTATTGACGATACAGTGATGTATCTTGACAAACGGTTTCAAGTCTTCACCGAAAAGCCGTTGTCAGGCTGTAGTGTATTTGACATCTCCTTGCTTCCCCATGACCGAGAATCTCTCATCTCCTATGGTGATGATGATGTTGCTGACCTTGTGGAACACTTTTCTTCTTGTTTGACTGAAGAGGAGGCATCAGAAATCCCCCATGAGTGGACCGACATGAAAATGTGGATGTCTGCACACCGAGGTCAGCATCCTCTTAACCTGTATGCAGAGTTACTGACAGAAAATCCAGATCATCTGAGGAACATCCTTGTGTTGGTTGGGCTGATGCTGACTCTCTCCCCATCCACAGCCACATGTGAGAGAGGATTCTCATGTATGAACAGAATAAAAACATGTCAGCGTATGTCTCTTAACAATGACACGTTGAATGACCTGATGCTTATTGCTTCAGATGGTTGTGAAATCAGTGCATACTATCCAGATGAGGCAATTGACACTTGGCTCTTCCATTGTAAGGGGACACGACACCTTGATCACAAGTCACCTGTTCCTTCATGTCCTTCAAACAAAAGTCAATAAAGTCATTGCAGGTGAGTAAAATGTATTTTTGTCCTTCAAACAAAAGTCAATAGGGTCATTTTAGGTGAGTAACATGTATTTTTCTATTGGCCTCCACCTTGGGGGAAAACTTCCTTTTTTGGGCAACTGAAAATGAAATTCGCACAACAAGATTTTAGACTTCTCTGCCAGAAGGGCAAGTACATTTTTAGAAATTTTGCGAGCCCTATATCAGAGGCACAAGTACCAGCGATAAAGGAAGCTGCATGCAACGAAGCATGGAAATTAACAGGTGATGGTGAAAAGGTCCACTGTTGCATTGACATACAGACAGATTGCCAGTCATGAAGCAGTTTGTGTGTGTGTGTGGAGGGGGGGGACATCCATATACCATCATGCCTGGCCCCCACTTTAACATTCGGGTATATTCCCCATTTAGTGAGAACCCAAGGTTGCTATATCAATGAATACGTACATGTGCACATGTACGCCTTTTTTTTTTTCAAGTTCTGACACAAGTTTTCTCATGCATCAACACAAGAACTGCTGCACCTGTAATAAATGTTTATCTTTTTGCGATGATACCCATTTTAATCAGCACAGACATGAAGACAGTCTTCATCAAAGTACTTGTAACAGTGTGTAACAAGATTATCTGAAAAACTGCAACAGACAGGAAACTATTTGCTTTGTGTTATAGGTATCCTTCACGCTGCTGTTGAAGTGACACAAGATAAAATCTGTTCTCTACAATATTGGTTTTAGGAATTGGAAAGCAACGTACACATGTAACTCTGTGCTTACATGTACATGTACATGTACTGGTACGTATCAAAAGCACAGCTACCCAAGATGAAGGAAGCTGTTGGACAACCAAGCAAGGAATATAACAAGGTAATTAGCAGTGAGAAGGCCTGTGTTAGATATTGACACACGAGAGATGGCCAGTTTGGTGAATGCAGTCATGAAGCAAAGACAGGAGGGGGACCCATGCATGTACTAATGTAAATCACTCAATGATCAACATCCGTGTGTCCAGTCTCCCACTGTAACATTCCTACTCATACTGGTATGTAGCCAAGTGATATCAAAAGTACTGAAAGTTCTTACGCCTTTTTTCCATTCACTAACATATACCGGTAACTGACACACAATGAATTAATATTTCCCTTGTTTAAGATGACACAGAGGAATGTTTACCAGCATCATACATGAGGGAAGTCTTTTGACATGTTGGTGTGATTGATGGAAATGCAATTTGTACCAAGACTTTTTTTCAAGATGTATTTTTTGCGTTGGTGAGATGTAATTTATGTATAACGGATTTGCCCTTATCCAACGTACATGTATATTAATNAAATGAATAAATGAAAAGAGGATGAACAAACCTGACATCAAAAATCTCCGAATACATAGACTACCTTTTTTCTTCCCATCGTAACTGCGCAACCAACCCATGTCCGCAACACAGCGGACATATTGTATAAACTGGAAGAAACAACCTTTCCACAGAATATCCTAATAACCAGTATTTATGTTGTTTCGATGTACACCGATGTCCGACAAGCATAAGTGTGAGGGATGCCACGCATGTTGTACATATAATTGTGAGTATGCTAGTGTGTAGTAACAGCGCCATCATGCGGTGGCAGGGGCATTCCTCATGTTTGCCGTCGCCTCCGTTGTTGGCCTGTCTGCTACTGAAATTAAATAGGTAAATTTCACTCTTTTTGGGCTTGTAAATTTCTTGTAAATCATCGAATGGGTTTACAGGGGAGTAGAGAAATTGTAGACATCGTGGGAAGGGTATAAATACATTATTTTATGGGTAAATTGGGCAAGTGGTTTTGTTACTTTCGAGCGGTAAAATAATGGCGGCCTCATAGCAGTGTGCTCAGAGTTTGGTTTGCATATACATGTGTATATACATATATCGGTATCGACGTTAATGGTGCCGAGACCAAAACTTTGAGTAGGATCTATGGTGGAGTACTTATGTGTGTTATGTAGTTTAGATCATTTGATTGAAGGAAGTTACTGGTTTCGCATAAGTGTACATTACATGCATGTACATGTACAGGCACATGTTGGGCAAATTGTGACATGTAAATTAATGAGACGGGTACATGTACTTGAGGATTAAGTGACATGTAAATCCCTTGCTTATTGGAGATGATTATTGCTTTAACTTTGAAATTGTTTGGAATGAATGGACTTCAATTATATTAGATTCTATCTCTAAGTTACACAGTAATTAGAGAGTAATCTTCCCAGTACTTGAGGGATATTGATTTATAGTCTTTATTCCAATGTACATGTAATTTTAGGATTGGATAATGACAATAGGGTGAACTCTTTGTTATTTCCATCATGAGGAAGTCCACAGTGTGAATTTAATTTTCTTGGCAATTAATCAATTTGGAAGGATGAATAGATAAACTGTTTTTCCAGACATTTCCAATTTCATCATTTTAGGGTCGAACTGTGCCATTTCAATACATTCAGATTATACATGTATAAGTAACTTACATGTAAGTTGTGTTTCTTTTTCTTTAAATTCTTCATGTTTGCCGTCGCCTCCGCTGTTGGCCTGTCTACTGCTGAAATTTAAATAGCAATTACACCAGCAGAGATCCGAGCCCAGGGTGTTCTGGTGTGTCTGTTCATGCACACTCCCCACCAGAAAGTGCCAAACACGGGGTGAAGTTTTCTTGCTTTTTATTATACTGTCAAAATTTACCTTCACTGGGCTTATCAGGATTAAGTAATTGCTTAAGGTCAAAATGTTAGTTTGAGAAAGTGGACTTTGTTTCCTTATAAAAGGAACAGGGTGCTGGTAATGAACGCCTCCCAAAATGCTTTTCTACCACTGTGTAAAATCACCCATGCAGTATTTCCTAAAAGTAAAAGGCCTCCCAGTATGGCACTTCCAGAGCTCCGTACAGAAGAGCTAGCTGCTGCTGACGGTTTTCTAACAAAACAAAAGTTCCAGTGTACTTACACTATTGACAACAGATGCTGAAGTACAAGTACGGCAGTAATGCCGATGAAGATCCTCTTCATCCATGTAGGCCTAAACATTTTTTTCTTTTTAAGAGTAAGTTTAGTTTGTGTCGAAGACTTGAAGTAACTTGAAGGTAGCCTAGTGGCAAATTATTTGTAGCGGAAATTACTTCCGGAATATCCGCCGACTTAACTTACTGTAGCGGAAATTAGTTTACATGTACAGTATGTACTTCCCGTATCCGCCGGCCGAATGTAGGCCCTACTGTGATAGAAATTAGTTCACTTCCCGTATCCGCCTCCTTACTCTGTAAAGTATAAGAAGAAACCCCTAAGCTACTGTAGTTCGAGTGCGAGCCTACGTCATGCTGTTTGCTTTAATACTCTTCAAGTTGGGCGCCTCTACTATGCACGCATTGCGTCGCAAGCAATAATCGCACGTTGGTGCGTTTTTTAGTGTTTAGTTATAGGGCGCGCTTTATCTAGGGCCGTTTTCCAATACTCAACTTCGGCTCGGTCTCAGGCTTCAACTGTTTTTTAACTAGCTGACTTTGAAGCTGTAAGTGCAGTAATTAGTTTAATAGTGCCACAAAACATCAAATAAGATGCAACAGAGCCAGAAATTACAGTAATCCAATTTAATTTAAACGCTTCAGGCCTACAATCGGGGATTGGTTTGGGAACGAAGCCTCAGACGGAGCCCAAGTCGAGTATTGGAAAAGGACCATCATGTCTTGGTCGTGCGAGTAATATTCGCCCATGCTTTAGCAGGTTTTTCAGCATGAACAGGAGTAGGATATGATAAAAAAGTTGTTGCATTTGGACGAAAAAAATGTTTACACCTTAATTAGCTCCAGTGGCCTTTCCAAAAGAGGCCACTCCCTCCACGCAGGGTACATTTCGGTCGTAAAGTCGGATTCACTCTGGGGTTGATCTAATGAGACGCTATTAAAATCTAATCTGTCAAAAATTGCTTTAAGAGCCTCTAATAACCCCGTCAATTTAGATACAATTGAGCTAAATATATCCCTTCTTCTTTGTGAAAAACTCTGGAAATCGTCTATCTGTGAATGAATTCCAGCAAAAATCTCTCTTAGTTTCTGCGGCAAGAAAATTATAACTGTTTGTTGGATACGTTTCTAAAAATCCGTTTTTAGAGTACACTGTTTCTTCTTAATTTATATAGTCATCAAAATTAATATACGTACGAAAACCACCAAAAACCTGATCTGTCGCAAGATATTCATTGAAGCACCGCTCTAAAACGTCGAGTATCGAAAGTGCATGGGCTTTTTTAATATTATGGCTTCGAACAGCACGTTCCCATACAGCTAAATATTCATACGGTTTTTCTAAAAAAAATCACTCGTGGTAGCTATTTCAGAAATAAATATATACTAAATAAACGACTGGTTGCAAAACTTATTCCACCAGCTACTTTATCTGTTAAAAACATATCTTTATAAAATTCCATTAATTCTGTGTTTTTTATTCCTTCTATACCTGAACCCAAAGGCGTTCTTTTTTTTTCCACTCAATTTCCGTAGTTTTGGTAATATGGTTTCCAATTGCATATTTCTGACTCGAATAGATTTGTTACTTTTTCGTTATGAATGATATTTTTTAGTCAAAGCGTCTGTGGAGTTTTGGTCAAGTGAAAAGTGTGTGTCTCCATTTTATTATATACGTGTTTTACTATATACGTGTTTAATTATATTCGTGTTTAAAAAAAAAAAACAGGTTTTAAACTTTTTTGACGGCTTCGTTAAAATGTTTCTCCGAGACTTGAAATCAGTCTTTAACGGTTGATTCAGCTTCTTCGGTTACGTCTTGGTAACAGACGGCAATTAATGCCTTCAGCGGTTTGCCTCTAGAGATCTTGCCCGCCAAAACTCGGTTTAATTTGTAGTTTATGGTGCCTGCTTGATCATGCGTCAATTGAACTTTAATTCTTTTAAAGTTTTACTCGACTTTTGCTTCGATTTTTTTATAAACAAAACGCTGGTTATATTTACCGCCCACGTTTTCTACTTCGTGTGAATAAATCTGGAAAAATATTAATCCACAATTAATCTGCAATGTGAGTTTATAATCTCTGATCATTTTGGTGTCGTGTGGGCATGTGGTTTCTTCTTCTTCTCTGTTATTCACACGGGGTCTCATTTGGCTAAAAAGACAGATTAAGTTTTCTTCGTCCATGGGTAAAGGCTCGTATTTGAAGGTTTGGTTAGATATGATTTTTATTTATATATTTATATATATAGTCCATTTACTTAAGGTGGTTAAATAAGGGTTTTTTAACCATACTTTGGAATTCTTGGCGTCTAAAATTTCTGCTTTCATCCTCGGGGGCCAACGCATATTCGGCAAAAGCTGGAAGTTTCCCTCCTGTCGAGCTAGATCGAAAAACTATTTCTTCGTTTTCGTCAAATTTTTCGTCTTCAGATTCTTCGGTTTCAGATTCCATTTCGGCTCTAAATTTCAGCTTCTTGAGATAAGCTTTTGTATGGTACAGTTGGGTCAATCATCAAGCCTATGTTTCTCAACTCAATTTCCAATTCGTTTTCTCTTTCGGGCACTGGGTCATTTAGTATAATTAATATCAGGTTTTTTTAGTAATCGTCATTTGTGAATATTAAAAACTCTTTATCACTCAGGTCCATACAACTGATACAATAAGTACAATTAGAACAACCGATGCATTCGATACAACTTTCACAAGATTCAAAGTCCCAACAACTATCGCATTCCTGACAAGATTCACATTTA